CCATCGTTGTTTGGCGGGCCCGGGCTGGGGATTTGAACCCGCCACCTTAGGTGTATGTGGCTGGCGCCTTAGCCGCTTGAGCCACAGGCGCCGAGCCAGGAAATATGTTTTAACTCAGGTTCTGCCATGCCAATCTTGGGAAACTCTCTTACTTTAAGGTCCAGTTTTCTCATTTATAAAAGAAAATACTGGACTACAGCAGTAATTACTCACACAGGTTTGAGCCCTACAAAGCTTGAAGGGGACCTCTGCATATTCCATAAGGCAAAAGCATCCTTCCCACCTTCTCACATTCCGTGCTTTCTACAAGCTATGTGTAAAGAGAGCTGGAACTTAGCTGGGTGTTGTGGCAGATGCCTATAGTCCCAGCTGCTCGGGAGGCTGAGGCAAGAGAATCACCTAAGCCCAAGAGCTGGAGGTTGCTGTGAGCTGTAATGCCATGACACTCTACTTAGAGTGACAAAGTAAGACTCTGTCTCTGAAAAAAAAAAAAGAGCTGGAACCAGTGATGGTATGTTTGTATGCATGGGGTAGAGTCAAAAATTATAGTTTCTATGGAATTTCTAATGTCTTTATAGCTAGAGTATTTGATAATTATTTTAATATACAGATACATAAGGCCAGGCATGGTGGTTCAGGCCTGTAATCCTAGCACTCTGAAAGGCTGAGGCGGGTGGATTGCCTGACCTCACAGAATCGAGACCAGTCTGAGCCAGAGTGAGAGGAGACCCCATCTCTAAAAATAGTCAGGCATTGTGGGTGGGTTGTAGTCCTAGCTACTTGGGAGGCTGAGGCAAGAGAATTGCTTGACAGTTTGAAGTTGTACTGAGCTGTGACACCATGGCTCTCTACTAAGGGTTACCAAAGTGAGACTCTATCTCAAAAACAAAAACAAAAACTGATACCCGATTGGAAACAATATATGTATACTTTAAAAACTTTAAAACAATGTTTTAACTTATGCCTAGATGATACAAAATAACACTGACAGTATATTTATTGTACCTTGTGTTTGCTATATTGTAGCTTTGCAGGATCTCCTGTGTTACTGTCATTATAAATCCCACTTTCTTCCTAGGTTTCACAACTATCTCTTTATTGCACTCTCATCTTCACTTCCAGTGGCAGGTTTTAGTGGTCTTACACACAAAAATCTCTTGGAGCAGATGCTGAAAGGCATGTTGTTGGGGCTGCCTTTTGAGAATGTGACTATAGTAAAAGTAAGACAGGAAATCATAGTGTATAAAGATGTAATTTGTGAAAATAATAACACAAAGAGGAGAGAGAGAGCTGTATAGGTACAGAATTTTATATAACATTTAAACTGATTGATATATTTTGTTTTATTTTAAATTTCTTTCTTTTTTTTTGAGACAAGAGTCTCACTTTGTTGCCCTCTGTAGAGTGCTATGGCATCACAGCTCACAGCAACCCCAAATTCTTGGGTTTGAGCAATTATCTTGCATGGGCCTCCCAAATAGTTGGGACTACAGACACCCACCACAATGCCTGGCTATTTTTTTGAGGTGGGGTTTTGCTCTTGCTCAGACTGTTCTTGAACTTGTGAGCTCCTTGGCTACCTGCCTTGGCCTCCCAAGTGCTGGGATTACAGATGTGAACCACTGTGCCAGCCCCCCTGGCTCTGTTTGTTTTTTTGGCCGGGGCTGAGTTTGAACATACTACCTCCGGCATACGGGGCTGGCGCCCTACCCTTTTGAGCTACAGGTGCCACCCCCTGGCTATTTTTTTAAAGATGGGGGTCTCACTCTTGCTCAGGCTGGTCTTGAATTCCTGAGCTTAGGCAATCCAATAGCCTTGGCCTCCCAGAGTGCTAGGATTACAGATGTGAGCTACTGTATCCGGCCTAAGCTGATTGATACTAATTCAAGTTAGTTTGTTTTAAATTTAAAATAACAATTGCAATCACCAGAGTAACTGTGAAGATGTTACAAGAAGAAAATTAAAATGCTCCAAGAATGGACCATATTATAAAACATAAAACTGTACAACTATTGATGTCCCTTGAACTTAAAAAAAAATCCTTGAGACTTGGTGCCCATAGCTCAGTAGTTAGGGTGCTGGACACATGCATCGGGGTTGGTGGGTTCAAACCCAATCCAGGTCTGCTAAACAACAATGACAACTGCAACAACAAAGAAAAATAGCCAGGCGTTGTGGTGGGTGCCTGTAGTCCCAGCTACTTGGGAGGCTGAGGCAAGAGAATGGCTTAAGCCCAAGAGTTTGCTGTGAGCTATGATGCCACAACACTCCACTAAGAGCGACATAGTCTACAAAAATAAACCTTGAAATAAGGATTTACTTTAGGAAATTGATGGCCAACAACAGTAGTTTTGGCTTGAAGTAGAGAGAGGGTTGTTAATGTTTTTCCATCTCAATTTTTAAGCATAGCTTCATGTATCACTTTAATGCATAGCTCTGCTTTGTTTTCTTAGGATTCTATCTGCCATATGATTGCATCTGAGATTATTCAACAATCTTAGTACTTTATAGCATAGCCTTCTCACATTTTGTAACAGAAACTGTTTTTCTCTTTGTGTTAATTAACAGCTACATATGTAACTCTAAAGGACCAGTTGTAGCCTTATTCTGTCTCCTTTTTTAAGTGGAGCATAAATTGGGTGGGGCCTGTGGTTCAGTGAGTAGGGTGCCAGCCCCATATACCAAGGGTGGCGGTTCAAACCCAGCCCTGGCCAAATTGCAACAAAAAAATAGCCGGGCATTGTGGGGTGTGCCTGTAGTCCCAGCTACTCAGGAGGCTGAGGCTAGAGAATCGCCTAAGCCCATGAGCTGGAGGTGGTTGTGAGCTGTGATGCCACGGCACTTTACCGAGGGCTACAAAATGAGACTCTGTCTCTAAAAAAAAATTTTAAAAATATATAAATAAATGGAGCATAAGTTATTTAAATATATAAACAAATGGAGCATAAATTATTTACTATGTAAATAAAATTTAATAAACACAGACCTGGACTTAATAGTGCTGATCTTACTGAAGCTAATTGTTTTTATTTCTGATCAGCTTGGCTTACTGCATTAATTTCTATTGCCATGTATTAATTTCTTTTTCTTTTTTTTTTGAGACAGAGTCTCACTTTGTTGCCCTTGGTAGTGTGTTGTGTCACAGTTCACAGCAACCTCAAACTTCTTGTGCTTCAGCGATTCTCTTGCCTCAGCCTCCCAAGTAGCTGAGACTACAGGTGCCTGCCACAATGCCCTGTTATTTGTTGTTGTTGTTGTCATTGTTGTTTAGCAGGCCCTGGCTGGGTTCTAACCCACCAGCCCCAGTGCATGTGCCCCCGCCCTAACCACTGAGCTTATGGAAGCCAAGCCGCCATGTATTAATTTCTAAATGACCACAAATTTGTGGCATAGAATAATGCACATTCTTTATCTCACAATTTTTGTGAGTCAGGAGTCTGGGCATAGCTTAGCAGGGCCCTTAGGGTTTAACAAGGTTATGATTAAGTTGTTGGGCTGATTGCATTTTCACAAGATATCTTGTAATAGTAAAAGGGAGGCTTAGCATAACTGGCTCCATTTCGCTTCTGACCCTCTGCAA